CTAGTAACTTGTGAACATTAAATATGTTTTGGTTTAAAGGTGCATTGTGTAACTTTTCTGGTGGAGGGCCCACAAACCTGCTTTATCAGACATGTTTCACAGTGTGGCTTTAAACATTTCTTTCATCATGGAGACCAAACCAGGCCAAGTTACTGGTCAGATCTCTGGAGAGGCAATAAAGCCACCTGTAATAATTGAGTAGATGTAAGGTAAATCTGTTTAATGCCATATTGTGGACTATTCGAGACAAAGTAATGAGAGATTTGTAGAAACAAGAAAGTGACAGACCCTCAGCTGAAATGTTATCATCACAAAGTCCTTACCATCAGCCTTAGTCCAAATAAATATTGCCATACTTTGTGTATTTGGGCCTCTTGAAAAGCCATTAAGCCCCACTTTTCATTTACAGTAGCCTAATCACAGAGCAGCAGACACATAAGAACGACACTCTCCCTTATAGGATGAATGGTGTGGTGTAAAATATAGTTACATGATTGATTGAAGGAATAAAGCACTGATGATTATTTACAGTTTTGGCCTTCCTCTGAAAATGCTCATTAGCGGCTGGTTTCCTGGCTGCGCTGGCCTGATAGAGAAGCTGTGAAATGGAGCGTGGAGCGGGCTGGCCATGGTAATGACTGATTCACTTTCTGTCTAAGAGCACTGACTATTCCGCTCGCAAACAACAAACAGCCCGGGACACAGCAGTGTAACAAATCTGATAACAGTTCGAACAACAATCTGGATGCTACAGTTCTGTATAGATGATTCAACAGAAAGACGCCTGACAGTATATATTTGTCTAGTATATAACAGTCAAATATTCACCACTTTTGGAAAATACAGACTACTACTGACAGGGAGAAACCCACAAGAGCTGCTATAATAATAGTAATAAGAATGCAGTATTCTTACTTTTACAGAAGCTCAAAGTCCCTTTACAGACTTTATTCACTCACTCCACACGGAAGTGGTAATCTACTACTGTAGCCACAACTGCCCTGGGACAGACTGATGAAAGCAAGGCTACAATTCTGCGCCATCATGCTCCAACCACCAACACTCGCGTAGAAGTGTCTTGCCTAAGATTCTAGTGAAGGCATATGGAGTTTAAAAACACAATGGAGCACTTTCTGTATTACCACATGACATCACAAGGTGGAACAGAGCATTTTCTTTTTGAGAGAAAAACTCTAAATATATAATATAAGCAGGTTTGTGTGTTAAACATGTGTGAATGAAACAAAACACAACTTCACGTATGTTTGTGATAATGAAATTGTAATATAGATCAGAAAATAGAGTAAAATATTAGCTCCTTAAATTATATGAACCTCATGGTACAATATTTATTGTGGAGGCTAACAAAACTGTTAAAATGCTACTTTTTCCTCTTAAAATACCTTGGCAAGACTTAATCCAAAGAACTTAAAGTGCTTAAAACTGTTATTTCTTCATGTAATCTACACTGAAATGGAGCAAAGGATCGTGGTCTATGTAGTTCCCTCTGTCATTTTTATAGCTATTGCTGCACCATAACTCTTTATTTAAGCAAAGAGTCTTGTAATTTGCTATACTGTGATGGTCCACGATATTATTGCGAGAACTTTGATGATATGATATCATGATATTTCGGTTATTGTTACATCCCTATATATTACCCATTATTATGCCAGACTAACCTAATGCTTAAATGCCAGGTGTCTTTGCTTCATTCACATTTTCCTGGACAAAAGCACACAGTTGGGTTAAGTGCACTCCTGTCTGACTTCCGCACTGCTAATGCCAGAGCCTCACATGTGGATAGAACAGATCAGCTGAATTAGGAGAGCCAATAGGTTATCTTCCAAGCATTTCCAAGCATATTGATGAAGTCATTAAAATGATTAAAATCAGATTTGGTGTCAGAAACCCTGCTCCACTAAATCCTGTGGAGTTTTTCTCCCTGAATCATAATCAATGTGTTACCAGGGCTCTCAGCATCTGTGCTTGAAATTCATAATGACTATAATGGACATTGTTTAAAAGGACTTTACTGCAGTTTTGTCAGAAGTATTGCTATGAATATGGATTATAAGTGAGAAGAGACGGGGTCTGAGGCAGAGTAAGCATAGTATTTTCTGAGAAGTAGAATTATTTATAGGACAACTTTAAAGGACCTATGTTATGCTATTTTTTGATCTATTATAATATTGTTTCCTAATCAAAAACATGGAGTTATACTTTGTTTCATTCACACATGTTTAATACACAAGCCCTGCATATTTAGGTTTAGGTTTAGTTTTTTCTCTCAAACAGAAAACCCTCTTGTCCACCTTTTTATGTCATGTCATCACAGCACCCTTCACTAAAATCATATGGATATTTTCAGCCCTGAAATTGCCAATTGCTACTGAACAAAAGATAAAAATTTGCTGTTAACATGAAAACTATAACTTCATGACATCACAAGGTAGAACAGAGCATTTTGAGCTTTGAAGATGTAGACCGACTATAATAAAGGATTTTTCAAATGAATATGAAATAAACAAAATACAAGTCCAGGTATGTTTTGATGAGGTAACAACATTCTAACGTAACTTAAATTTTGAGTAATATAGGATCTTTAAATATACCAATGCAGATTATAAGGGATACATGAATATTACATTACTGCAGTCCAACCCTTAAACTGACCAACACACATACAAAAGTTAATAATCAACACAGTAATAAAGGAGTCTTGAACATCAGTCTTGCCCACAATTTACACCAAAGCATAACAGCGCGTAAGCACAGCAGCACAGCACACGAGCACCATATGTGCAGGTGACACTTTTTCATCTTAACTGGTCGAACAATTTACACCAGCACTGTTGTATGTGTGTTCAACAGCCATCATTATGCTACGCGCCGCTCAAATTAGGTTGGAGTTCTAATGTTGCAGCGTCAACAGAGCATCTCCAATCTTTTTAGGAGGGGACAGACAGGAAAAGGGTGTGGGTTGTCAGAATAAACTCACGATGCCCTTTCAAAGTACGTTCTCTAAAACTACTACAGTCGTGTAAACACTGTGTCGCATCTGGGAGGTCGGGGAATGACTTATGATGGACTATGGAAAGTTTATATATATATTTAAATATAAAACACTTAACGGCAACTTCACAAGAACAACTTCTGAAGGAAAAGGGACGTGGTGAGTAGCTTCATTAATGCGAGCACCGCAGATACAGCTTGTTATCGCTGCAAAGCACAGTCTCTCTTGTTGTCAGTGTTTGTTTTGTGATTTAAAACACAATTCATCCAATCAACAATGAATACAAAAGCAATGTAAAAAGTTTTGTATTGAAACATGAGAATACACAGAGGCTGGCGTCTCAAGAGCAGTTCTGCTGGCTCTGATGTTAATTCAAGCTTTTAAAAGTAAGCACTTGTGCAGCTCTGTCTACGTAACGTGCTGCTGACTCTCCTGATGTAAATTTTGGGTTACATCTTGTATGACCACTGTAACCACTGATTTTCCATGCAAACAGCTTAATGGATACAACATTCCAAGCTGTAATGCTGGAGCCAATTCTGTACATATGAAAATGTTGTTGAAAAATGATGCGTTCAAAAAGTGAACTAAAAGAAATTCATTAACATTAACACTTAAATTGCAGTGTGCATTATTAAAACCCCCTTGACCGAAAATTATGCCAAAGTTTGTAAAAGTTCAGCTGTGGCAAGTCCTATTGAAAGTACAACTGTTAGAGAGCCATTAGTCACCATATTCTTCTCTTAATGTTGATTTATCTCTACTACTTTGCCCCTCCTATGTACTGCAGTATCAATTTGTTTTACTTTGTCCCCTTGTACGTGTACATAACCATCGTGCAAAACAGCAAACCACAGACAAACAACTAGGCCTGTCACAATAATTAGCATAACAACTTTGTTATTGTTCAGTATATGATGAAAAAAATATATTTTTACTCAGTAGTACTCACATCTACACTTTCTTTACATTGTTTTTTTTTCTTATTTTTTGTATTAGTATTAGGCCTGTATGATAATATGTGAACTGCAGTTGTTTGAATAATTAACATCTATGACACATTTTAGATACTAGAACTACTACTACTAATACTGCTACTACTACTACTAGTACTTACTACTGCTTATTTATTGTGTCAGTGGTATAAAGTATTTTCAATACTATCGTTTATTGTGATACTTTTCTGTTGCTACCAGGGTTGTTACTACTACTACTACTACTGCTGCTGCTACAACACCTACTACTACTACTACTACTACTACTACTACTACTACTACTACTACTACTACTACTACTACTACTACTACTACTACTACTACAACAACTGCTACAACAACTACTACTGGCCAATATCTGTTATTGTTACTAGGGTTGCTACTACTACTCCTGCTACTGCCACTACTACTACTACTACTACTACTACTACTACTACTACTACTACTACTACTACTACTACTACTACTACAACAACTACTACTGGCCAATATCTGTTATTGTTACCAGGGTTGCTGAGCTGTAGTTGTTTGAATAAACATCTATGACACATTATAGATACTAGAACTATTACTATTACTATTACTATTACTACTACTATTACTGCCACTACTACTACTACTACTACTACTACTACTACTACTACTACAACAACTACTACTGACCAACATCTGTTATTGCTACTAGGGTTGCTACTACTACTCTTGCTACTGCTACTACTACTACTACAGCTACTACAACTTCTTACAAGTACTTATTTTCCTACTTCAGGGTACTTCAGGGTTATTTTGTCAGTGCAATAAAGTACTTTCAACACTAATGTTTACCGTGATGCTTTTCTGTTGCAGTATATCATACTTTAAAAGACATTATTGTGACAGGTCTGTAAACACAGGCAGACACAGTGTGCAGTGGATTCACCAAAATGTATGAAAATGGCTGTGGTACAATGGAAGTGGTGAAGGTAGGCGGAGGAAAAAAGAGGACTTACGCTGTGTTGCATTGTCCTCCACACTATCCTCTGGGAGCAGCAGTGAAATGAAGAAGAGACAGTTAATTGGACAGTGGAGTCATTTAGAGATTTAGAGAGAGGATCTGGGCAGAGGCATGGCTGTGGGTTAGTCAAGCACAAAGTTACACGATAAATGGTACCACACAAGTCCTCGTGTTTTACTGTGAGATTTACAGCACCTACCTTTTATGTGAATCCTATTTAAATGCTCAAAATGGGAGGTCATCAAATTTAATCATTACAAAGAGCTTAAATTATAATGGGCCAGTGCGACAAGGAAGTATAGTGCATTCAATTATTATGCAGACAGTGTAATCCCTCATTTGTACAGGAGGGGTGCAATGTAAAGGTTTCAACTGTGGTCGTCTGCACACTGTTTTTGTAATCAGAAGCTTTTAAAAACACAATTGAAAGTATCCAGATGTCCACAGAAACCTTCTCTACAATACAACAGATAGACATCTTAACCACATCTTACAATAAATAGGGATAAAACAGAGATAAACTGCACTGCTCTGTTGTGGCTGCAATGCAAAATAAAGCATAAATAAATCAAATAAATGATATACTCAACCATGTTAACAAACAAGTATGAAAGTCCGACCCCATACTGAGGTTCACAAAGTCAAAGTCCCATTCCTATTTTTCCCATAGACCTTTTCCAAATGTTTATGTAGTTATGTTTAGTGCAAAAACACACTTGAAGGCTAAAATCTGGGTCATTTATAAAGTTTCAGAAATATTTTGTAAATAAAATGACATGATATAAGGCAGTCACCACATATCTGAGAAGCCAGCAGCGAGCCAACACATATTTCTCCCGAAAAATCTAGAAAGTTAATTGGAATTTTATTTTTGGACGGGACTGTCGAGCTCCATTAATTGAACACATAATAAACAGTATAATTATGCTAAATGAAATAATGAATGAACTGTGAACATAAATAAATAAAACAAACAAATCTTCTTAAACTGTTCTTGAGAAACACGGTGCTGGTTCTTAAAGAAGATTAGATGTCCAACTTTTATGTCATGTGTTTCGCTCAAACAAAGCTGTGAGCTGTGAAGGAGTGACACATGTGACAGAACCTTTGATTATTTTAGATGTCAAATACGATCAAGTAAAAAAAGTGAAAAGTGAACAGTTATGAAACCTGCGCTCCTTAAACTGACAGCTAGCTTTTCGCCGTCTTTATTTGAAGCTGGTTCTGACAAAATGTTCAGATAAATTATTAAAGGAAACAAGAACCTGAGGATTTTTCCATAAAAGAGTGATTTCTTTTGGTTAGTTCACTTGTTTTTCTCTCTTTACATGTGGCGTTTTGATGTGTCACGCCTAAGAATAGAGACAGCCTTGTTAGACTTAATGCGGCTTGTAAAAAATGACAGGCTGAAGACAAGGCACAATAATAAAAGCTGTCACACAATTTATGTCAACTAATTACTTTGCTTCAATGTTAACTGGATTTAAGAGTACACTCTAATTGCTTTCAAATGAGCTTTGACATTGACTGTGAGACATATTTTATACAAAGTAGAAAAATGTCCCTATTCTTTGCCATAAAACAGTAATTTTCCATTATTATGAATACTTACGTTTAAGGCAACTTAATAAGGCCACAAATCAGTGTACCAATGTTTAATTACTCAAAGAGAACGTGATGACAAAGTTTTACCAGAGAGAACATTTGGATTAAAGGTGCATTATGTAACCTTTCTGAGTTACAGGTCAGATCAGTGGAGGTACAGCCTGTTACCTGACTCAATCCATGTTGTTTCAGTTTTTAAGCAATACAAACACTAATGAAATAAATGCAAGATAGAAAAGTTTAATACCACTACTACGAAATATTCTAGACAAAGCAGAAGAAGCAGAAGAAAGAAGAATACTCTATAAATAATAAAAATTCTCTCTTAAAATGTCTTGTTTTGCATTGAGTTGAAGCAGCCTGTTAGCTATAGTAGTAATGGTAGTAAAACTATAGTATTGAATGTGCAGGGGGAGAAGTTGGAGGCTGCACCGGTGAGTTATGACTTGAATGTGTTGCTATAATTGACCCAGACCAGACCTTCCTCCTACACAACTGCTTTCAAAGACATGGGCCCTGCAATACATCTTTATATAGCATCAATTAGTGTTATTATATGTTATATTTTTTCCACCAGTGCAGAGAGTTTGTAGGACAGAATAGTACTCAATAATACTCAACTCCATAGCTAATAACTGCACACTGAAAAAAAGAGGTTTTGCATTCTTAATTTGATCATCATAAGAAAAAAGCAATGATTTTCTTTTTTTTTTTTGGAGTTGTTTCTCTATCTCCATAGCAAAAGCAAATTGAGTTCTCAACAAGATTGAATTTGCGACTCATTCAAGTAGCTTCTTCAGTTCTGACCAGGTTCTATTAAGTGAGTACCTTCGATTTGTGTCTGAAGAGAGGTATTAACTACACTGGAATTAACTCACACGCTAGTTATTTACAATTTTAAAAAGTATCCTGCCAACTGAACATATTTTTCCACTAATCCAAAGCTTCTTTTATTGAACAGTTTATCATTTACTACCATCTGTATGTCCTCGTCTTTCACACTTTTGCACTATGGCAACAGCTCTCCTCTTTGGTCCAGGCCTGTCCAGACCAAAATTTAGCATTTTGGACATCACTGAACATAAACTGTCCATCAAAATGTAATTGTTTCCATCTTTGACCAGTGCCAGAAAAAAAACAAAAAACAAAAAACAAAAAAAACAAACCTAAAGCAAAACAAAACAAAAACCTCTTCAGCTGTCCTCTTCTGACTATCTAATGGCTCTTACCACTATCTGGTTTTAGCTCTTGTCTAATAATTGGCAAAGTCCCAGTCCCAAGTAGTTATCATTTGGATATATTTATAAATATAAGCTTTGAAGATGAGCCAAAGCTACCTCCACTGTTTCGTATGACTGCTTTCTCACTGTAATCCTTTGCATACTGACTTCCCGTGTTCATATGTGGTTAACAGTGTACAGATCTGTGGTGTCTTGTGTTGGTTCTCATACCAGTCTGTCCAGGCTGGTTCCAGATGTGGTAGTGGGTCTTTCTTCGTGGCTGAAGTGTTTGAATCGTCCACTGAACACGTCTGAGATCCCTCTGGCCGAACGCCCGGCTCCTGAGGGCTTTGGAGGACCACAGCCTTGAAACACCTGAAACACAACAAAGGGAACAATAAGATAATATAAGATCAAGCAACTAAAATGCAATTCATTTAAAGGAGCAATGAAAAAATATTCCAACTATGACCGAACAGATTTTTGTATGGTGGCTTTTTTGTTGAAAAGATGCCACAGCACAGCATCCACTGAAACATTATTATAGAGACTGTTATCAAATAAAACGAGGTCATTTCACATCGCAATGTCTGCTTCTAGGGATTTTGCAGTAGTGGTTGTATTTGTGCTATTTTTCCTCCAGCAAAAGAGAAATTCAATTCTGTCAACTGGACAAAAGTTTTTGATTGAAGATGTTTCACAGCTCATCCAAGCTGCTTCTTCAGTTGTGGTCAGATTGCTGCTGAACACTGCCTGAAGGGAGGAGCTAACTACACTGAAATTACTCTGAAACTAAACACACCTGCTTGTTTACAGTTTGTCTGTTAGCTAAATGTATTGAACTATGTTGTGTGCTGTGCTTGAATCATACGAGCATAATCGTTCAAGCCCCTGATGGATGCTTTCACATCCCTTAGTATTCAGGCTATCACTATTGTTTTCTTTGTTTTGATTTACGTCTGAGGATGGAGTTGTAAATAGGAGAGAGATAATGTCTGAGCTGTCCTATTTACAACTCCATCCTCAGACCTTTATACATAACAATACAACATAATAACAATCAAGGAAACAATCATAGACATTGCTATACTCTGAGCAATTGGCGAGCAGTAGTTTAATACCCGCCTGACCTAGACTTGAGCTGCTACTAAAAAGTACCTGGCCTCCGGAAAAGCAGGGCTAATGCAAACACTCCCTTCGAAGCAGTTTATCAATTCTCAACCCGTAGTGACTGTACCGAGCTGAGGCCAGTCCATTTCTTTGAAGAATACACCTTCATTTTGATCTGAAAGTTTTGCTTTGCCTACACCACTGACATTTTCCCTTCGGAGATCTTTGGCCTGCATGAGCTCACAGCAGCAACGCTTGTGTGCGATAAGAGACAGGCAAATATACAGTCCATCTGGATCACTATCTCCCCTTATGTGTCAGATTAGAGCTAGAGCCAAGCACATAATACTCACAACACCACAGCATACATCTCAGCTACACAATATGTTACGATGTGTGGTTACGGCAATATCATATTTCAATGATTACATTTCAGCATTACCCAATAGCACTGCATTGTCCTAATTTTAAAGGGCCCAAATTACACTATTTTCCTCCTCACAAACATACCTCGTGTTGTGTTTTGTTTCATTAACACAAGTTTAACGCACAAATCCTGCATATTTAGGCTGAGTTCTTCTTTTAAAGACAAAAACACTCTGTTCCACCTTGTGATGTAAAGTGCAATGTAATGTAATGTAAATTTTATGTAATACAGGAACTTAGATTTATTTATTTTTATTATAAGTACAGAAACCAGAAACATTACACAGTGCACCTTTAATATTATATCTGAAAAAGCAGCAAGTAAAAGACAACAAGTCCCATGTTTTTATTCATATCATGCTGTTCTAACATTTATCTCCCTCAGTTTGAATAGCGACTTCATTGTGTAAATAGATTTACATGTAAATGGTTTGGTTGCTTAAGGCTCTGAACGGCGTCCCTGAATGCGGCGTCTCATTATGATTGGTGCTCGGCCCCTGGCTTTGTGTGTGATGGAGGACTCTAATGTGCTCAAGTGCTGTCAGGACAAGCAGCTGCCCGCTCTCTCCCATTTGTCAGTATCTCAACAAGTTTACGCTCACAACAACATCAGGACCGAAACAAACAAAACACGTCCTCAGGCTCTGTGGATGTAGAGGGAGTGCACTATACAACATGCTGACTGTTATGTTATGACGATGCATGCTTTCAGCCCTGAAACTAAAAGCTAGCAATTACTTTTAGTCATATTTAGAGGTGCAATATAAATGCAATAAAGGGGTTTGTCATCATCTTGTCTCTATGGAGATGTTATTACTTTGCCTGCAACAGTTCACAGTATGGCATTAAACTTAATGGTTACACACTTATTCTGTTACTGGTGTTTTTATTGCTAAAAAATGTTGGGAGTTGCCCCACCACAGATCTGCACTTTAACTTGTCTCCATGGAGATTGACATGTTTTCCACACTAAAGATAATTTAAAGGTATAAGTTGAAGGACCCATATTACACCATTTTCTAATCTATGTTACAATGATATTTCTTTATCAAAAACATATCTGGAGTTGTGTTATGTTTTATTCACACATGTTTAACACCCTGCACATTTAGGAATTCTTCACTCAAACAGAAAAAAAAAACAAAAAACAAAAAAAAAACACTCTCTTGCACCTTGTGATGTCATGTGGTAACACAGTATGTGCTACACTGTGTTTTTTAAACTCTATTCATCTTCACTAGAATCATTTGGATAATCTCAGCCCTGGAACTGCCAATCCCATTTTGAGTTTTGGAGATGTAGCCAGACTAATAATAAATTACTCAAACTCAATGTGTGAATGACACAAAACACAACTCCAGGTATGTTTTTGATGAGATAACAAGACAATAACATGGCTAAAAACACACAGGAGTCAATGCTGTATATAACAGGACCTTTAAATCATCATAATAATACCTAATATTATGGCGTATTACAGAGTTGATAAAGTGAAGTTTACCTTTGCAGACACATGCATGCTGTTGTCCTGCATGGTCATGATGGCCTCAGAGATCTTGATGTCAATTGGCTGGACCACTGCCTCAATGTTGAACGGCCCCTGCAGCCTGTTGGCCACCATCAGCATCGCATCTGTCAACACAAATTACACAGTGTCAACCACATTCAATAGACAGGATGCTCTTTCACAAACCATAAACAGGAAGCAGGTGGGCCATGTGAGTAACTTAAAGGTGCACTGTGTACGTTTTCTGGAGGGCAACTTATTTTCTGCAACCTGTTTGTCTCCACTGAGATTTGAATGCTTTGGTTTAAATTGCTCAGCGTGTGGTATTAAACTAATCTGTGTTGCATTTATCCAACTCTCCACAAACTTAACATGTAATTTGGCTTGCAAGTCTCCACGGAGGCTCACAAGTTTATGGCCAAACTGTGAAAAATTCTAGGCACATCTCCATACAGACAAGACAACCACCCCAACCAGACAAGTTACACAGTGCACCTTTATAGAAGACTATACCTTATTAGTGCGCATATAGCTTGGCACAAATGTATGGGTCAAACAGATGAGCCACTAATTTTTCATTGTCTTTAAAACTATATTTAAATAAGTGAAGTTACACAGTGTCAACCGCAACGTCACAGCAGAAACCTGCGAGTCAACACACAGGATGCTCTTTAGCAAGTCATAAACAGGAAGCAGGTATGCCATGATGTGAGTAACAATGAGGAGAAAAGCTGTGATAGCTGCCCATAATCTGAATCCCCAAACAAACAAGGTGCTGTAGAGCTGTGTAAACAAGTGAACAGGGCTCAGACGCCACAGCAGAGAGGGACTGGGAGATGTAATTAAATATCCGTGTGCTCAGAGTACAAACAGCCTATTAATAAGACAACAACTCATCTACATACAGGCATACACAGCCAGTGCAGCCAATTATGCATTTTATGGAACACATCGCGCCATTGAGCAACTGTTGATCACTGATGAATAGAAAATTATGATTTGTTTGACATTATTTTTGATTTAAGCTGTTGTTTTTGATATAAAGAATGCAGTTCACACATCATGTGAGTATAATTTGAGATAAAACTGTCATTATGTCCCAAGTGAGGAACAGACTTAAGGATTTGTTTGTTAATTTTCCATGTTTTGCATAAGATTTGGGTCCACCACAAAATGCATTATTGGAACTTGACAAACTGTAAGACATTAATTACAGTTACTAAATATGAAGGCAAAAATTAAAAACTGAGACTAAATATTTATTGAAAAGTTTAAACACCATCTGCATGTTTTCTCTTCTTTCGAAATATGTGTTAAACCTTTCTTATAAAAAATAAATATTTAATAATAGTTTAGCTTAAACATTGAATCTGGTACAAGCATAATATAAAATAATAACAAAATTAAAATAAATAATGTCTCTATACTCCAACTGTAGCTGGCGAACCAGCTCTAATACATATTTGCTATGATCTTGCGGGCCAAATACAATTATTTCACGGGCCAAATTTGGCTCCCGGGCCTGAATTTGACATGTCTGGTGTAGAATGTTCCACGGTATGTATGTAATTTACATATCCCCAAAAGTATAAAATATGTCACCAGGTTATGTCACAAGTCAGATCTGGGGAGAAGCAAGCCTATCTACAGTCTATAGCTATAACCTGTAACCAGTGAGTGAGTGCAAGATTTGTTTCATGTGATACTGCGCAATTTTCTATTTTCATTTCTGTGGATACAAACGTGTAGCCTAGCGCTCCTCCTCAGAAAAGTTACATAGTGCATCTTTTACATTGTGAAAACCGAGTGCCACTTTTCCATCTGCGTTTGAATCGACTGTGGACGGTGCAGTGTTAATCCTCTCATGACTCATCACTGGGTAATTCATTACAAATGCACAAACTGGTGCTGCTCAGGAATAAAGTTAGCCATTTCTATTCACAATCTGTAACCATGGAGCCTTTCATATGCTGCCAAAAGCAATCTGCTATTTTGGACTTTTGTTATGTTGATATTGATTTTGTGAGAAGTATGCCTCCTCCTAGTGGCTCTAATCTCATCAGAAGTCTTCCCTGTGTTTAATAAAGAGACAACAGTTGCACTTTAAAGAAGACCTTACCTTATTAGTGTACATATCACTTGGCAGGAATCAGTGGCCAAAACATATTAGCCACTTACGCCACAAGCTGTCACTTTTCATTTTCATTAAAACTAGATTTCACTGACTGAAGTGAAGGATGCTTGTGCTTTAAACTGCCATAAAAAAGTTCCTTGAGTAGTATGAGTAGGCAATGTCTTAGTTTCAGTAGTAGTCAATGTTCTGTTTGGATAGAAAGCCTCTTTGCATGTCATCTATATAGTTCAGAACTCAGTGCTACTTCTTGTAGCCTCAACTATTTTTCAAATATTTATTTGCAGCATGTAATATTCCTCCAAACAAAGTAATGACTGTATTAAAAAAAACAAATCTGTCATATGCACTTTAAGTGAGAAACACAGATGAGTGTTTTCGTTGTTAGTGAGTGGGGCCCTTAGGCTGCAGGAGGAAGAATGAAAGTTAGTATCTCTGGTGAATTCTTTACTCCGTTCTTTTCGACTCATTTGGAACTGTCTCCATCAACATGTCATATTTGTGTGTTTCCTCTTTCCCTGCTGAAAACACTCACTCAAAGCACAACCTGACAGTCTCCATTCTCTGACTGACTCCATCATTACAGACGATAATAAGAAATGTGTTGAAGAACTTAAAGAATGAGGACTGGTTCTTCTGATTAGCAGAACACTGTCAGAAAACACTCTGCATTGAAGTGTTGAGTATTTGGGGAAAAGAGCGTGGCAGGTAGACTAACACAGGGATAATGTGCTGTCTCTTAAACATGAGCCTCTCAGTTTAAGTGACGGAAGATCTCCTGGGGCTGGTGCTAAGTGGTGAGGTGAACTAAAATAACATTTGTGGAGATTTGAGCCAATCAGAGCAGTCTATCCTCCAGTCCTCAGAGCACAGTCTGTGATGGTGCAGCAGAAGAAGAGATCGACTTATGAGCAGAAGTCTAAAAGTGGAGCCAGAGACAGAGTTGCACATGACAAAGACCATCAGTGAGACTCTGCTCCCCCTCTGCTCCACACATCAGGTGGTATTATGTTATAGGCCTCCAAATATAAGCTCCCACCAAAATGACGTCTCAGAATTCATCTCAGCAAATTCTATTTCCAGGTATCGCAGGGGTACTATTGGCTTCTGCACTTCTTCGCTTATACATGTACATATATATGGAGTTTAGCTGAAGCTTTTCAGTTCAAAAACCCATTTAAAAACAGAAGTACAAAAGTACAACTTTGAGAGGGTTTACAATTCTCCATTCACCGCAATGAAACGTGCATTCAAATGTTACCATATCAAAAACATACCTGGAATTGTGTTTTGTTTCATTCACACATGTTTATTATTATTAGTCTACATCTCCAAAGTACAAAATGTTCTGTTCCACCATGTGATCTGATGAAGTGGTAGTTTTCAAGGTAACAGCTACCTTTTACCTTTAGTTCAGCAGAGATTGCGAATTCCAGGTTTAAAATCATCCAAATGATTCTAGTGAAGGTGTATGGAGTTTAAAAACATACTGGAGCACTTCCTGTATTACCACATGACATCACAAGGTGGAATAGAGTGTATTCTGTTTGAGAGAAGAAATCAGCCTAAATATTTGTGTGGATCAAACAAAACACAACTCCATGTTTGTGACAAGGAAAATATAACATAGATCAGAAAACAGCATAATATAGGACCTTCAAATTTTATATTAATGTCATTGCTCTTAATGTCTGACATGAAAAATTTAAACTACCCCAGGGTCTACCATAAAAAATGTCATAAGCTGTTAAGTCATCTTTATTAAGTGCAGGGGCGGACTTAGGCACAGGCCGACAGGGCAGCATTTGTCCATGTAAGCTTTCAAACAGCAAATACCAGTTAAAAAAATATTTGAACCATTTTAATACTCAACCCAGCACTGGCTTGCTATTTCTCAAAACCTTTTTAAATGCTCTAGCTTACCAAATACAAGGTTTACATTTACTTTTAGCTTTTCACAGCTTCTGAATGTGATGTTCAAGTGCATACTTTAAAGCATTATTTTACAGAATTAATGAATAGAATAAATGCTTTTAACTTCCACTCTGAAACAGTCTTTTATTCCTTCATCATAAACCATTAGCCTTTCTATAGGGCCCTGGCCACTGACAGCAGCTGAAAGTCTATAACAAAGTTCACTATTTCAAGTGAAGTAACTTTTCAATGAGCACTTGACAACTTTATGAGCCCATTAGACTATTTTGTATTGTGGCGTGTGTGGAAATTGTTCTGTGTGAAAAGCGCCCAGGCCCCAAGGTGACAAATAAGATCATTGGTAATGTCAGGTATAGGTGGTGGAATTACAGTGTCCAGGGCCAGCATTCACTGAGCTGACAGGAGCAGAGCGGAGCAGGGAGCAGGGCCAATCGACAGGTGCAATATCAAAGGCAGCGTTTAACTGGAGGAAGTGATTTAGAGCACAGCACAGAGCTATGGCTGCTTCTGGATTAAACACATCTCCTAAGACTATTCCTCATTAACACAGTCGTGAAGGGTGATGGGACAACGGACGTAAATTTTATAAACAAGGCTTTGTGTTCACATCCTCTTTAAACTAGCATGCATATTTTATCATGCTGTCCACCTCCCTATTACATCATGACATGACATCAGGGTTTAGACTGAGATGGAGAACACACAGAGCTGTATCCAAGGCTTGAACATATATCCCTATGGTTCAGATTAGGCTGTTAGCCCCGCCCACTAGTCCCTAAGGCTGGAGTCTTGTATTTAGTATATAATACTGAATACCTGCATTCAAGGATCATCATTTGAGATCATGCTGGGGGTGTTCTATTGTATAATATTATTTTGTGTACATACAGTTTACCCATTTCTGCATAACAACAAGCCACCGCAGTATGCTATATGGCTGGCATGTGAATTAAACAATGTGGAAAAAAACAAACAAAAACAATAAAACATGAATAAATACCAAATAAAAGCCAAAATGTCTGTATTTTAGAATTATACAGGTACCGGATCTCCTTATGG